AGTGCCTCAATTGAATGTGCACTATTTCTGGCAGTCTGCAAAGGCCCACAGACACACAAAATGGGAAAGTGGTCAGTCTGATAGGCCCCCTCCCAGTCCTTGCAGCAGCAGCAGCAGCAGCAGCCCCACCTCCTGGGCCATTCCCAGCCATCCCTCCATCCCTTTTGCGCGCGGCCAGGGGCGTCACAAGAAGGCATCTGCGGGAGCGCGCAGGCGGGAGGGGGCGCGCGTGCCTGGAGGGGCCCACCTTTTCCTGCCACAGCTGGGGAGAATGAATTAAATCTCCTTTCCAGACGGAGCAGGCACAGAGGCAGTGTCGGGTTATTCCAGCCGAAGGTAACGCCTATATGCAGTCATTTTCAGCAAGCAAATAATTGCATTTCTGGTGGGAATGCAAGAAAAATCCTTAAATCCTCAGGGTTTGCTGTCTGTTCTAGTTACTATTATTATTAATATACAGAAAACATTCAGGGGTTAGCTGGGTTGGTCATATTATTATTATTATTATTTTATTATTATTATTATTATTATTATTAAACAAAAGCAACCTTTTTCTTATCCTGTGATTTTGCACAGGCCACTAAATCTGTTGTGAGGGCAACAGATTTATCTTCTGGAGTTTTTGGCTTGGAGGCTGAAGGATCTGCTTTTCTAATTAGGTACAGGGCCCCATGCAGTATTTAAATGCTGACCTTAAAAGACTGTGTGGTGCAGCTTGCCTTTTCTTCTTCTTTTAGACATTTCCTCTGCCTTTTTCCTTTCCTGTGATATACTGTACAGGCCACTAAATCTACTGCGAGGGCTGGTGATCTCCAAGATCTCTCTGCTTGGAGGTTGAAGGATCTGCTGTTAAATTAGGTACATGGCCCATGCAGTACTTAAATGGTAACCTTAAAAGATTGTGTGGTGCAGCTTGCCTTGGTTCTTCTTCTTTTAGACATTTCCTTTTCCTTTTTTCATTTTTTGTGATATACTGCACAGACCACTAAATCTACTGCGAGAGCTGATGATCTCCTGGATCTCTCTACTCTGAAGCTGAAGGATCTGTTGTTAAATTAGGTACAGGGCCCATGCGGTATTTAAATGTTGACCTTAAAATATTGTGTGGTGTGGCTGCCTTTTCTTCATAAATTGTTTTACATGAAGGCTGTTTGGAACTGGAAGGGTTTTATTGATGGAAGTATACATTGTTTAGGTTATTAATTTATTGCATGCCTGCTTAGAAATAAGGTCCTTTGCATTAACTGTGTTTGTGCACGGAAGCTAAAAATGTAGGCAAATTTGGTATCGAATTTATAGATACCTAATTTAGCTACCAATTCTATGGAATCCTTTGTTGAGGACTCAAATCTAGAACCCAGTACTGAAGTTCAGGGGTGATTTTGTTGTTATATGGCTTCAAGTGATTTCTGACTTATGGCAACTTTAAGGTGAACCTATCATGGGGTTTTCCTGGCAAGATTTGTTCAGAGGGGGTTTGCCTTTGCCTTCTTCTGAGGCCGAGAGCATGTGATTTTCCCAAGGTCACTTACTGGATTTTATGGCTGAGCAGGGAATTGATCCCTGGTCGTTGGAGTCCTAATCCAATACCAAACCACTATGCCATGCTGGCTATCCTGTGATAATTTATAGATACCAAATTTAGCCACCATGGCTTCATTCCTTGTTGAGGAACATAGGGCCTTTGCAGACTGCCAGAAATAGTGCACATTAAATTGAGGCACTGCCCTGGCTCAGTGCTAGGGAAACATGGGAATTGTATTTTTTTCTGAGACACTGAACCTTCTCTGTCAGAGAGCTCTGGTGCCACAATAAATTACAGTTCCCATGATTCCCTAGCACTGAGCCAGGGCAGTGCCTCAATTTAATGTGCACTATTTCTGGCAGTCTACTTAGGGCCATAGACTCAAATCTTGAACCTAATGGTGAAGTTCAGGGGCAATATACTGTTTTGTTTTTTTTCCTGGCAAGGGGATTCCAACTCTTTCACCAAACTGCCAACACCTGTGTTCTCTAGGATGGAGTCATGATATCAAATAAAGTGATATCAAAGTACTACCACTGTTCTGTGTAGATGCATTTTCAAAGTGTTATGTGAGCACTTTATGGGGAACTCTTGAGACTTTGTTTATGTACCTTTAATGGTATTTTGCCTTTGGTGGTGATGGCTGAGACATTTCAGACCTGTTTAAAGCAACATGCATTGGCATACTGTCCTATTTGTGCTGGTGCTATAAATTATGTGCTCTGTGTGTGTGTGTTGTGTGCCTTCAAGTTGTTTCCCACTTACGGTGACCCTAAGGCAAACCTATCATGGGGTTTTCTTGACCAGATTGATTCAGAGGAGGTTTGCCGTTGCCTTCCCCTGAGGCTGAGAGTATGTGA